AACGAGGGTTAAAAAGTTTTTTTATTGAAATGGTATAAAAAGATTTGTTTGGGCTAATTTTTATGGTCAAAAGTCAATAAAATAGGGAGATAAAGAGATGAGGGGGTACAGTAAAATCCTTGGGGGTTTCCTCATGCCGCTTGAAAGAAAAATGGAAGGAAGGTCAGCCATGAAATAATATGAGGAATTAGGATTCTATACGAAGTTTTCGAAGTTTTCCCAATATTATTCTTGGAGTGAATATTCTTATGGATTTTGTAAGAACTCTGAACTTAAAATGATTCATTCATTATAAGATGGCAGAGGTCTTGGAAAACATGGAGAATCTCTACGATGCTCTCTAATATTTTGAGTCCTGTTAAAGGCTCCATTGTGGGACGGTTGCCCAAAAGAAGGTGACTAGCACCTACTACCCATTAACTCGGCAAACTTTCTACTTTTGTCATGGTCAGCACCTGCTATCTAAAGACAATCAGTTCCCAAAAGCACTACACCTGTAGCATAATCTTTCATACAAGTTCAATGATGGCATTGGCATAACAAACCATATTATATTTTATTTTGGACAGTGATCATACAGTGCTTTAATACCAGAGCATTTGAAAAAATTATCATTTATGCAAATCACATGGTCTTCCTATAAAATGTTGTACTCCCTAATGGACTTTTCAGAAGATATTTCCCCAGCATATTATTGTCAAATGGAAGTGTAACAGTAACAGTATATGCCACGGGCCCAACAACAATCATACTTCCATCATGTTAGATACTAAAACTAGTGAGAAGAAAAAAAATAAGCAAATGAAAAAAGCTAACAAAGGCTTCAGAGAGATAAAATGGCCATCCTTACGAGATGCCAAACTCACAAAGAACATGTTTCATGAAAACAAACAAACATAAAAGCCAAATAGCATACAACTATTACCTGAAGTTGATTACGGACTTCGGTCAATTTGAATTCCTGCAAAAAGAATAAATAAAAAGGCACCTCAGGCTCTAATGTCCAAAAATAAAAAAAATTGAAACCACCATCACTGCTTGCTTTCCTTCTACCCTCTAGCCAACCAACCTGCTCCTGAAGTGCCTCTCTTAAACTGGAGACAAGAGCAGCCCTTGATGATTCAGCCACTGCAAGCTGCTCAATACATTCCCTTAGTATACCATGCTGCTGCTGCAACTCCTCCACAAATTCAGAACCAGGAAGATGTCCTGTCCATAAGGGAATAAGAAATAGACTCTTTACTTAATAAAGAGGACAACAACAACACTAACTGGATCAAAAACAAAAAAAGTTTTATCTAAAGAAAAAAAACATTCCCAACGTAATATTCATAAAAAGGTCATCTGAATTTCTAGTTCTTATGATAAGTGGCACAACCTCTTAATTATTAGGTATGTTAGGAATGGCTTCAAGGAAGAAAGAAGATAAGCACCAACCAAATTAACAAACAATAATGATGATATCAATTTGTCAAACATTCGATAACTTTTTCCTTTATAAACTTCGAAAGACAACTAAAGAACCATTCAAAAAAACAAAAAAGAAGAGACAACTAAAGAATTGAGAAATGAAAAACAGGGATGGTACTTTAAATGATCATCTCAGCATCATATTGAACACGAAGTTACCCTAAAAAATGCTCAACTTTGGTAACAAGAAATTTATAGTAATACAATGTTAACATTCTCAAAAAAAAAAAAGCTTATCTTTCCCTGATCACATCCCAAAAATGAGTGTCAGGTGAGTCCAAAATAGATTCTAATCTACAAAACACTAGTAGCATATTCTTCTGTCCTAGAAGTGGAATGGAATCTTGAATGGTTCAGATCAGCCGATACATAAATTGTTGTTTGGTCATGTTCTTGATGCTACAATTTCATTGCTTGAACATATGAGTGTTTATCCAGTCATTACGGACTAGTAGTTAATTCTCATAAGTACAGCTTCCCTTAGCACTATGTTTTTGGCATGTCCTATTGTAAAGATCATTCATATACATTATCCAGCACTCTTTTATTCTCCTTTGAAGAAAGTTCAAATTGCAACAATTGACTGTGCAAATTATTCAAGAACATAAGATATCATAATCACCTCCCACATCCTTTTCTGCTTTTTCAACACAGCTAATGGCATTTCTGCATCTTGTTAACACAGATTCTTCTTCCACATGGCCATCATAGACACCCTCATAGCCTGAAACGATCTTTTCCAGTGTATCTCCAACAGCAAATTTCTGAGTTTACATGGAAGGAAAAAATAACAATTATCTCATATCCATCCCAAAAAGAAAAACTACTAGCAACATGCATGCAAATGATAAAATATCTGCATGATTTGGAAATCAAAAAAATATAACAGGAATAAATCTGACAAAAAGCAAAAAAAAAATACAATTTTCAAATTACATTTCAAAAAAAGAAAAAAAAAAGGAAGAAGAAAGAAGAACTTACAATTTTCATATTGAAGCCTTTCCCATTTTTTGAATTGTTTTCCAGGTTTCTTCCTACCAGCTCTTCCTTTAAAGTTTGCCCTCGAGAACCAAACACCTTTCTCTCTTCCCATATGTCAATCTAAACAGTAAGAAGCAAAATCCCAAAGATGATCAGAGAACAAATTGAGAACTAATGTACAAAAACTGAAGGCGACTGCACTAACCACTGAGAAAGCATGTAATCATATTGAAGAAAAAAGTTGCAACAAGCAGCTCCTAGAAGGTGCAGCAGCCATTGCATTTAAATTCTTCCATCAACAAAAAATAAATCCATCCTATTAAATGCAAACCCAATTTTGAAAGGCGCAGAGAATAATCTTGTAAAGATGTCCCATTTAAAACATCCATATCTCATGATCTTATTAATATAATTCTGTACTTCTATTTATTTCCAGGCACTTTAATTATTCCTGACATTTAAGGCTTATAGCAGTATCACCTCATACATCACACACTGAATCACTAATAACACAAAAATAAAATGATTCAGTAGCATGAAGTCCAGAAGGTGAAGATATTGAAAAATTTGAGAAAACTAGGAATGACTTTCTCTCTGTATTTCTAGATGGAGGACAACCTAACTGCACCCCATCCAGCTTAAACACCAGATTCAGAACCACGTCTATTTATGCAGAGAAGGACAAAGATAAATGATTCAGAGAGATATGAACTTCTAAAAATTTCAAAAATGATCTGCAAGTTGTAATTTGGGACTGATAGAGAGGGACGAGATATAGACCACGGAAGCTAAACTATATAGTGATCTACCTTTCTTTAGCAAGCTCAGACAAAACAGGATCACAATTGTATGATCATCTTCATGATAGATGATTTCAAGAGACCTGTTATCCAATGGTTGTCTTTGGAGGGTTGTAAATGAAGCCCAATAAATGCAATGTTCAGAGGCGTGAGGTCCAGGCCAGTGGAAAAGTAAACCTAGACTTGCGTGTTAGCAACTCCATTGAGAATGAAATGTCTATAAGGCATTGTGAAGCATAAGTTGGATAGCAATTCTATCGGAAACTTGACCAGGACAGTCAGGTGTTACCCCATGATTCGTTGGGTGGATAAGGGGGCCTTCATGACAGCTGTCAGAATTATGCACTCCATGAGGGGCCAAGATGCTTCTCCGTGGGCATAAGATATTCATAATTTGTTATGCATCCCCTTGCTATAGAAAGTTTTTCCATTTTTTAATAGATAATGATTCAGTAGGATGGTTATGTGAAGTTGCATGAAGCAAACATTAAGTACAATCAAACTTGAATCGAAGGTTATGCAAACGATGCGTGAGCTTATATCAAACCCAATCAAAACTGAGGGTGTAAATCAGTGTGTGGGTCGGATGGGTTCGCATCCAAAAGCAAGCCACTTCAAAGGAGCAGATATTGAGTGCTAGCACAAATGAGTAACAATAAGCCAGTAATGATATTGCCACTAGTGACTAATACCGCAATTGAGTTGTTTCTGCAGTCACAAAGAGGTGATCCTTGTCTTTTGGTCATTCCTCATTGGTATGACAGCATCAAACAATGCAACATTGACAAATTTTAACCAACCAATTTAATCTCATACTTCAACCACTATTTTCTTAAAAAGCTTCATCCAACTTTCTAGCATCACCCATTCACAAGGGAATGATCAATCTCCAATTACGTATAGTCATCCTATATTCATTCCTTTAATGCCTCCATCAAGACCATATATAACTTTCGTCTCTTAGAGGACATCCAATACTTTCAGTATACAAAAGATAAAAAGACTCTCCCATTCTCTAAAATAAATGGAAAAGCTTTCAATACTTTATATTGCCAATACTGAATAACATGCCGACATACTTTGCATAAACCACTTTCCTTCATGAACTGTAATGAAACCTTTATCACCCACATGGATTCTCAAAATAAGTCAATCTCCCGGAATACCGATTGAATCACTTGAATCTCATTCTTTCAATGATCAACTTGACTTCTTTCTTTTCCTTTTTTTTGGGGGTAATTTAAAAAATATAGCCCCCCTAACAATGGAACTCATGACCTCTTGTAAAGAGGTACACAATGCGCCTTAACCAGCACGCCACTTGCTACTTCTTTCTTTTCCTGATCTTAGCATTTTCCTTTTTAGGATTAGAGGGATCAGATTCGCTCATGTGATGAACGATCTTAAAATGACTATCCTTCATGGCCACTAAAGCATCAAAATTGTCATTCTCATGAATAGACCATGAAATAGAACATCTCAAAATGTCAATGGCTCTAAAGCCACAATTTCAGGAAATGCCTTCCTCAACATTTTCAAATTTCCACAATTGATGAAATATTTTCACACATCATTGGCACTAGAATATAAAGGGAGATGGAGCTCCCATCCCTAAGTCCCTAATTATATTCCTAATGGCTTATCTAAAGAAAATCCATAACAAATTGTGGCCATTGAGATGGTCAGCCTCCTCCAATATCCATCATTTAGAGAAAGGTTAGCAAGTCGCTATTCTTCAAATGGAGGGGTATGAAGAATAGAAGAAGAAACTATAGTTGTTGGAAACATCTGTGATTCTGAATCATTTCAAGAATCAGAATCCCAGATTCACGGGTGACCAGATGGTTCCTATAGAATCGTCGCCGATACAATGTATATCATATGCAGTGGGAATCCTACCATCTGGGAATCGCACTCCAATACAATAGGAATTGCGATTCCTATCCTGTTGAGATCAAAGACCCATTGACTTGGAATCGGGATTCCTAACTCACAGGAATTGTGCACCAATCCACTCGGAACCATGCCAAAAAGGCAAAGGATTTAAGGATTTAGATTATTTACAAGTAGGAACTCCTCAATATTGGACTCCATATATTGAGTATGACTACCTAGGGCTCCCCTATTATTCGAATCTACATCTTTGACAACCCACCTCTAACATTAGATTGAATAAATAAAATGAAATTACTTTATTTTTATTAAAAATAAGATATTTAATTTTAATACAAATTCTTGAAATTTAGAAATAGTGTAAACTAGAGTTTGTTGTCATCCATAGAGTTTTAAGATACTCATCATTTTATTAATTACTAATAAATTTTAACTAACACAATTTTCAATTAAAGTTCAATTTTTTTCGATATTTTGCCAATATTATACCACGTAAGGCATATTAGTGTTAACAAACTTAGCATGTGACTTGTTAAATCATGCTAGGTAAATCGAGTCGTTAAAGCATGCAAGGGAACTTGAGTCTGTGTAAGAGATGCATAATTAAAAATATCAATATTCTTTAAATTGAGACTTCATTTTCATTGTCTTAAGTTCTAATTTGTAGGAATCAAATCCAATTGTTTCTCTCACACTCACTCTTGCTCACTCACTCACATGGCACTCATTTGAGGATTTACTCTCTCTCTCTCTCTCTCTCTCTCTCTCTCTCTCTCTCTCTCACCTCCACCCACCTACTTTAC